GGCTCTGAGAAACCATGTTGTCCTGAGCCCTCCTTGTCCCTGCAGCCTCCACCCAGCCCATCAGCCTCAGTTTCCAGGTCTGGAGGATGGGCTGGCTGAGCCCCCCTGCGGAGCTGCCCAGGGACCCTGTGTGGGGTCCTGGGGAGGAGGAATGGCTGTGATGCCTCTGGAGCAGGGTCTCCATGGTGGACTCAGGTGGGGACAGGAGGTCAGGAGAGGACACTGCTGTTAGGGCTGGGGTTCCCACCTGCGGGCCGCCATCAGCTTGGCCCGACAGCCTGGAGTTACAAGTGCACAGTGACACAGTATCATGCATCCCCCAGAGAGGACCTGAACCCTGCTTTCTTCCTGCAGAAGGGGGCATGGCAGTACCCCAAGAGGGTGGAGTCCCAGCAGCTTCGGAGGCTGAGGCAGGAGCATCACGAGCCCATGAGTTCCAGACTGTCCTGGGTGGCATCACACGGGACCCCGTCCTGGCCCCTGCCAAAAATGAAAGCTAAGGACAGGAGAGAGGTGGTGTCAGTGCAGAGGAGGACTTCCCGATGTCCTTGGGGACCACTGAGGCTGACCACTCACCGGAGGGGAACCGAGGCAGGGGATGCACTTCCCTGGCCCTCAGTGAGCTGCCCCTAAACGGGGACCTGCAGGCAGGCTTAGAGAGGGCAGCGCCAGGCGCATGGCCTGGGGCCTCTGTGGGTGCAGCAGTGCCCTGCTCCTCCGCAGGGCACTTAGGTGACGGGTACCTGGGCTTTCTGGGCGTGGCTGGCCCGCACTCGTCCCTCCTCGTGTGGGGAAACCAGACACAGGGGCCGCCCAAGCCACCTCCAAGGGTGGGCGGCTGAGACGGCTCACTGCCCGGCCTGAGCAATGCCCAGAGGTGAGCACAGAGCAGCCGGCTGCAAAGCAGAGCTCAGAGCAGACCTCGGGGACGGGGCTGCCGAGCCCCAGTAAGCACAGGGCAGGCCACACCCAGAAATACCGAGGTCACGACCCCGGCCTCCCGCTGCCCTCTCCACGCTGGACACTGACAGCAGCGTGTTTACGTGGCCGGCACAGCCCAGGCCACGGCACCCTCGGGCGAGTGGGAGACCCTTCACGCTGTCCCAGGCTGCCACTCACAGCAGCCTCGGAGACACACACGGGGCCTCCAGAGTCACTCCCGCAGGGGCTGATGACTGAGGGGGCCTGGCCCGGCAACACCACACCTTCCATAGGAGCCTAGACATGGGTCGGTGTGCCGAGAGCCCGGGGTGCCACCCACTGTCACCAGTGCCCCCTCTGCAGGGTCCCTCTGCCCTCAGGTGCAGAACCCGTGCTGGACCTGGGCAGAGAGGCTACACTGCAGCCCTGGGTGCAAACCAGCAGGGACCCCCGGCCGTGACCCCAGCTGAGCCCCGGCCTCCACCAGCTGTGCCCTGGGCCGGATCGCCCGAACCCCCAGCCCATCTCTAGTAAAGGGGAATGGGGACAGGGCTCCTCAGGGAATGTGGGCCCATGGTCGGAGCGGAGACGGGGCTGCCGGCCTCCTCCACGCACTGTCCCTGTCCCAGCCTCTCCCCTGTGTGACCTGGGGTGAGGGACGTAACCTCTCTGGGCCGTGCAGGTCTCCCACAGTCACTGGCATCTGGCAGAGTGCCTGATGTCACCGTCAGCATCATCGTCACCCCAGGAGAGTAGCCACTGCAATAGCCCATGTGACACAGCGGTGCCGGAAAGGGGGGCCCGGGAAGACTTTGGTTCTCGTGAGTCTGGTCTCCCTCGGGCTTTGCTGTCACATGATGGGGGTCCCTGGTCTCAGACCCCGGGCTGGAAAGTCGCCCTCAGCTGCAGACTGCACGAACGATGGACACCCAGATACTGATATGAACGAGAAGCCCCTCTGCAGTTTCCACCTCATAGGGAGACGTTTTTGTGACGCATGGAGGTTTTGGTGTCTTTTGTCACAGAAAGGTCCTAGAGCCTCTCGTCTTTGGTGGTGTCCGTGCCCGGGGGCTGTGTGTGACCGCGTGTCCTTGTGTGTGTCTCTGTGAGTGTGTGTCTGAGCCGTGTGCGTGCCTGTGTCACACTGATGTGGAAACCCAGGGTGGCAGGGCTGGTGTTTGCCCTCCCTCCTGTCCCAAGGTCCCATCCCTGGACTGTGCTGGTCCTGGTCACTCATGGGCTTTGTGGGCTGCGCCCTAATGGGCTTCTGCTCTGCAGAGAGCAACTCCTTGGGTGGTGGCGGGGCCAGCCGACGCGGTGTCCTCGGGGCCTCGGAGGAGCCGGGTCGGTGCTCCTGGAAGCTTTTGGGTGACTCACGACCACACACGTGCAACACGCGCACGTGTGCTGGGGACTTCACGCTCCCATCCCCCTCTGATCTGAGCAGGGCTGCCCAGCCCGGTGATGGGCACTTGACCAAGCCACCTTGTCGAGGGCCTGGGACCAAAAAGCCAGGCTTCCTCCAATCCCCAGGGGTCAGGGTCACCGGCTGTCCAGTGGTGGCTGTCACTGACCACCGGCAGTCCCAGGAAGCCCCAGGGAATCGGGTCCCCCCTTGGCCCACCTGTCCTGTGCCTCTCCGAGAGCTCCTGAGGTTCCATGGCCCCCGCCCCACCCCGTGCTGGGAATCTAACGGGGGGGGGGGGACGAGTCCAGCCTCCCAGCAGGGCCCCATTTCCTGTTTGCTCTGCAAGTAGCTGGGCGAGGGGGTCTGCAGCCTCGGGGTTATCTCCCGATCAGCCAGATGGGCCTCGAGCCCTGGCCTGCGAGGTCGGCTGCCCGGGGACCAGGCCTGGGAGAGCTCGCTGCTCCAGGTCAGGCATCCACGAGCTAATAAAACAACAGTAAACCCCCTTGAGCCAGTAAAGTCTGAAGAAAACAGTAACGGTCCCCAAAAACGTTCTCCCGCAGGATAACATTTTCTTAATATTTTGTGGAACGTCTGTTTATGCAAATTATTTCCGGAGAGAGCCGTTGGTTTTTAAGAACAGGTCAGATCCTGAGTGCTGCATGGCTAAACTATTTTTAACTTGATAATCTGGCCGGAATGCGTTTCCATGCCAACCACGCTCGATCAAGCTCAGCTGCCCGTGGTGGCCTCGTATTCTGCGGTTGGGAGCTGCGGCAGTGGCCTCGGTCCCGTGTAGCTGCTGTGTGTGAGGGACAGCTCCCCGCTCCCCAACAAGAGGCCACGGCACGTGTGTCTCAGCATCCCCTTGGGACGGGTCCCTGACATCTGACACATTCCCAGGGAGACGGCCATGCCGCCAGGCAGGACCAGGCAGGACTGTCACGCCAGCAAGCTGGGCCCAGCCTGCCCTGCACCACACCTTCGATGGCCCTGCACTTCGGTTGGGCTGGTCCTAGACGGGTCAGTGGTGTCACACCGATGCTTTCTGGCCTTTAAAAACCTTTGCATGTTTTACGTGTCAGGCACTCGGGCACTTGTGGACTGGTCCAGCTGTTCGGGGTTCAGTCATCGAGGCCCAAAGCCTTTGCATCAGCTGATCTGGCCCCACGGCTGCCCCTTCTTCTGCCTGGCCTCTATTCCTCTCATCCGTGCTCTGCCATCCATCCGTCCACCCATCTGTCCTTCCACTGACCTGCCACCCGCCACCATCCTTCCTTCGCCTTGGTCATCCTTCTGTCCATCCACCCATCCGCTCATCTGTCCACTGCCATCCGTCCAGCCACCCACCCTCATCCACCCTCATCCGTCTATTCGCCTTCATCCATCCATAAATTCGAATCTGCGTGATCCCTTCGCCCAGCAGAGCCACGCTGTCCCGTCCCCCTGACCGCCCCTCAGAAGGGGCCTCCGACTGCCAGGGGAGCTGCGGTGTCCCCAGCCTGAGTGACCAGCCTCTGGGGTCTGGGCCCGGGCCTGAGCAGGGCTGCGGGCTCCACAAGGCTGACAGCCACATCACTGTGTCCACCTTGGCTCCCACAGGGTCAAGAGGCCAGTGACCTGTCCAGGGCCACGTGGCCATAAAGCAGCGAGAAAGACAGCTGAAGCCCAGGGAGACCACGTGATTCCAGGGCCCCCAGAGGATGCCGTGGCAGTGGCTGCGTTCTCACTCAAACCACCTCAGTTTTCCAGGCTGTGGACGTCTTTACAGGACCCTGCTTCAGGCCCGAGGGCAGCCAGCTGCCAAGAAGCAGGGCCACTGTCCACTGCGGAGCGGCTGAGCCCAGGCTTTGCGCGGGGCTCCCGGGAGCAGAAGTTCAGCCTCGCCGTGCGTCTCAGACTGGAGGTGCTCGGCTGCACGGCCAGGGCGGACGCCCACACCCCAGGTGACTCTGAAGCCCCCGCCTGCGTTCTTCCCTCTGGGAGCTGGCTTCAGAGCTTAGGTTCTCTGGGGGGCAGAGACGCCCCCAAAGCCACCAGAGACACATTGGTGACGACCCCACTAGTCCTCGCTGGCACTGCCTTTCTAGGGACCTGCCATGTTCCTAGTCACCAGTCATGTCAGCCCTTAAAACCCCATTCCCCTGGTGTCCAGACCCCAGGGCTCTGACAGAAAGGCTCTAGCTGGTCAGTCACACTTCAGTATAAGTCAGTCCAACCACGGAATAGCCCTTCTATGCCTTCCGGGGAAGGGGTGATGTTTGTTTAGAGGGGACCCCATTCATCCGTGAGGTGGCTGCTGGTAGCTGGGATGGGAGATTTCTCCGCACACTGAACTTAACCGTAGGCCTACTCTCACGCTGCCTTTCCAAACGGCTGGCCTCTCTTGAGCACCTGTCCACCCACCGCCCGTGCAGGGAGCAGGCTTGGCCCTGGGCTGCTTCAGCTCCCAGGAAAAAGAGCCACAGAAGTGAAGTCCTTCACTGTGTTTCAAAACAGACCAAAGTAAACTTCGTGGAAAGAAAAACAATCACAAAACACAGGGCACCCAGGGTGCCCCGAGTCCCAGCCCTCCGTGCACCAGCCCCGCTGCGGCTCCAGGCTCCTGGGGGCACTGCTGGTGGGGTCCTGGGCCTGTGCTGGCCCTGAGAGCCAGGCCTCTTCCTGGCTGTGTGGAAAAAGAGGCTCCTGTGGGCTGGGAACCTCCTCGCGGCCACCGAGGAGGCGGGCCCGGCGTGCTTTTCTCTTGGCATTTACTGCCCTGAAGAATGATTGCGGCTTCCTCCGACCGCCAGAGCCAGAGCCGGAGAGGTGACTTCTCGGGAGACTTTGTTTACTTGGAGCTCGGGGAGGCCCTGGCATGAGCGAGCTGGGATCTGCGTCCGGCCTCGGGCTGACCCCCAGGGGCTGCCATGCACAGCGCCCCTCGGGAACAAGGGGGAGCCTCCCGGGAGGAGGGAGGCAGGACGGGGCCCTGCGGTCCGGCCAGGGTGGCACTGTGGCCCGGGCACCCCGTGGGCACAACACACGCCGGAAACCATAGCCACCCGAGCCCCAGGTTCTGCAGACCCCAAGGAGTGGACGATGGGCCCACGGGGCTGTTCACAGGGCCACACTGCAAACAGGATGCGGGTGCTCGTCCTGGGTCTCAGCCCAGTGGCAGGGAGGGCTTTGCACAGTGAGTGACACCCACGTGGCTCCGCCTGGCCTCCAGCATGGCACGAATCCGGCTGGGAGGCCAGAGCACAGCGGTACAGCACCTGCCTGGCGAGCAAGAGGCCCCAGGTTCCATCCCCGGTACCCCACACCCGACCCGGGTCGGATTCTGAAGCCCCTGTGTCACCAGTGTGTCCTCCTCCAGCACGGCCTCCACACACCCCACGCGCAGAAGCTGCATGCTTCCCTCTGCCGTGGGAAGCAGCGGGCGCCCCGGCACCCGGGGTGTCGCCAGAGGAGCCTGGGTGGATCCCTGGAGCCCCAGCCCCAGCCATGCCACACTCTGCCGCTTGCTGCTCCCCACGCTGAGGGTTCCCAAGCCCCACTTCCCCTCCCACGGGGACACCGCGGAGGCCGCTTTGGAACGGTTATCTGTGATTTCCTGAAATTAGGTAAAAAATATTCGACATTTTTTTGTTAGCCCAAGTACCTGCTTCCTGGTAGATTCCAAATGCTGACCCCATGGTGACCAGAGGAAGGGGTGTGCCGGACCCGGCCTGGGCGACGTCAGGGTGTCTGGCTGACAGCTCGGGCGGGAGTGTGGCCGGCTCTCTGGTGGCCGCTGGCCACTGAGTCACAGCCACCCCCACCCACGTCCTGTGCCCTCAGCTGGGCCCAGGGCTTCAGTGGCCCAGGTCCTGAACTGTCCCTGGAGCCCCTGGGTCCGAGACTGGGAGCCTTGCCGTTCCCCAGGGAAGCCTCGGTTTCCGCAGAGACCCAGAAACAACCTCTTCCTGCCTCCCGGGATGCTGAGCGGGTGCAGGGAAGGGCGGCCGCGGGGCACCGAGGAGGAGGCCGTGCGAGCTGGGCTCCGCTGTGCGATGCCATCCCTCTGCCCAGCCCGAGCGGCCCTGGCTCGGGTCACCTTGCTCCTTACCCTCCCCCGGTCAGCTCCTTGGCGACGGCATCCTGGCTCCTGCTCCTCGCGTGACTCTGAAGTCTCCGTTTCTGTCTGGACCTCGGGGCGGCTGCTACCAGAAAGGTCGTCAGCCCGAAAGGAAGTGAGGCCTGATAGGGCACCGGAGCTGGCCGGGAAAGCCCCTCGGCGCGGGGCTGGCGTGAGGGACGCTGCACACACAGGTAAGGGTACGGTTGTGTTAGTTCTCAGCAGCAAGCCCTGGGATTTTCCAAATCAGCAAACACCACTAGGAAACCAGTGGCCCTGCCCAGGGCCTTCTGGAGGAGCGGCCGGGCCAACATCGCTGGACATGGGGGCCTATTTACAGCTTGGAGTTTACAGTGAACCGATCATCCAGAGAAAACCACCACCAACAAAACATCTGTGTCCATCCATCGAAGGCCCGAGCCCTCGGGAGGACCAAAACGGCCCGGGAGCCACTTCCTGTCCAGCGCGGGTTCTGCAGAGCCCGGAGAAGGTGCCAGGGCTCCCTTGAGAGGTCTGTCCAGAGCACACACCCTGCATCGGCCAGCTGGGCATGGGAGAGGCCAGGGCCAGCTGCGGGGGACCAGCACTGCAGGGAACCCAGGTCTCCCGTCCCCAGGGCCGTGGGGAGCCTCGCGTCAGGGACTGGGGTCCCGCAGGCCCCTTCCTGCCACAGCTTCATGGAGTTGTAACTTTCACACCCTAAGGCTCCCCTCTGCCGCCTCCTGCTCCTGCTGACCCCAGACCCTTCCCACCTCTGCCCATCTGGACAGCATGGTCCTCCCTGCCCACCTCCTCTCAGCATCCTCCCTCCAGGTCTGCCCGCAACCAGTGTCCATGCCCCCGTCCTCCTGTGCCTGGGCAGTGGCCCCTAGGTGGTCTGCAGGTAGCAGCCTGGGCCTGGGCTGGCCAGTCTCCCCTCGCAGGTGTGGACCGGCCATTCCGGGCCCAGCACGCTGACCAAGCTGCCCCCAGAGTGCCCGCAGTCTTTCTCAGCCTCCCTGCGGTGAGTAACAGCTCGGTTTCTGAGCTCCTGTCTCCCCTGCCCGGGGATGGAGCTCGGGGCCTTGTGCAGGGCACTCACCTCCTCCTCAGCCCTCTGTGTTTCTCTCTGGAGACAGGGTCTCACGAATGGCCCAGGCTGGCCTTGAGCTAAAGATCTTCCTGCCTCAGCCTCCCCTGTGTGGTAGCTGGGGTTATGGGCCTGTACCGCAGCACCCAGCCTGAGCTCACTTTTGGGCAAAGCCCCAGCACAGAGCGAACTTCCTGTGGGTTAACTAGGAATAGTAATTAGTAATCAGGAATTCTCCCACTCGGGTGACAGCGCTGATGGACCCAGCAGGCCCAGGAACAAGGGGCCCAGGTGAGGACCTTGGGGAGACCCGGCCCAGCCCGTGCTGTCCCTGGGCATCAGCCTCTCCCACCCCACAGTGGCTCCTCGAGCACACCTGTCCCCCAGTCAGTGTCCACTCTGCTGATGGCACTGGCCCTGGGCTGGGTGCTCAGGGATGTTCTGGGTCAGCAGTGTGGTCACGCTGTGTCCTCACCACGGGGAAGACTTGGGGGAGTCAGTGCTCCATGCCAACTTCTGGTCCACTGCCGCCTGGCCGAGGGATTGGACCGAGGCTTGCAGGGCATAGGTACAGTGCTGGCAGAGGACGTCACGGCCACCTTTCTGGATTCTCCAGAGATGTGGGGCGAGGGCAGTGGACTAGTCCTCAGCCCCCACCCCCAACGTCCACTCCACCCCAGACGCAGCCCCCGGCTCCAGGCACAGGAGGAAGAGAGGCTGCCCTTAGCCGTGCCCTGCAGCTCCATAAAGTGGGCACAGATGGTGCTGGGCCCTGGGGCCAGGGTGGATGCCCTGAAGTGACAACCTCGGACCTCTAAAGTGATCTCCGGGCCTGGCCGCCATACTGTGACCTGAAGACCTCCACCAGCACTGCCTCGGGATGGGCACCCGTGACAGCTGAGGCTCAGGGTCCCCTGGGACGCAGGTGACCCCCTCGAGGTCCCGAGAGACCAAGGCGCAGAGCCCACTGGCAAACCAGCGCCTGGCCAGGAGCCCAAACCTGGGAGCCTGCGGAAATCACTTCTGATCAACCTTCTGACGGTCAGCGCGCTCCAGGTGTGTGGGACAACCGGACGGATGCTGTGCTGGGTGGTAATCAGGAGCGGATTCGAGGGGCTCAGCTGGCGGCGGGGTCCATGGCCTCCACAGGAGCTCGTGGTGCTCAGGAAGTTTGGTTTTAATACTCAGCTGCCTGCCTGACTCTCCCAGCAATCATAATAATTTGTCCTGATATGGAAACCCCAGGCACCCACCTTGGGGGCGGCCCGGTGTGGGAGCGGAAGGTGGCCCGGGGAGGGCACTGCAGGACACCATAGCCAGGAGGGGCAGGGTGGCCCGGTGCACAGTCCGGGGTGGCAGGGCAGAGCCAGCTCCCCCTTCTCCTGCCCTTCCCCCTCCTCCTCGCCGTCGCGTGGTCTGTCTGTCCTCACACAGTGCAGTGCCCGGGGTCCTCCCATGTCCCTGGGTAGCCATCGAGGTGACCCCTGCAGCTGCCACCCCGTGCTGCCCACTTCACCGTGTCCCCTGTCCCAGGGTGGCTGAGGGTTAGAGGGCCCTTTAGCCGTCACCTGAGAACAGACTCGTGTCCTCACAGGCTGAGAAGTCCTGCCTGGGGGCCTGCTGAGATCTGGGCTCCAGGGCAGCCCTGTTCCTGCCTGGCCGCACTGGGCCCCCGGACAGGAGTTTCCGTGTCATGTCGTGTGAAAATGCACAGTGTCACAGCCTGGGATGGTTGGCTGGCGCTGCCTACCAACTTAATGACAGAGAGGACCCAGGAGAACTTTGTGAATACTCACACCGATGGCATTTAACCTCGGGCTTCCTGGCAGCCAGAGGAAAAGGTGAAACAAGTTGGGTTATTTGATGCTCATTATCCAAAGGGTGGAACTGCACGGGCTGGTTCTCCAACTGAATCTCAGATGCTGCGGCTGCTGAGGAACCGTTTCTTCATGCTGATTTCCAGAGTTATGGTGATTTACTTACTTTTTTGTCTTTTTGAGACAGGGTGTTGCTACGCAGTTCAGGCTGGCCTTGAGCTCACTTTGTAGCCCAGGCTGGTCTCGAACTCGCAGCGATCCTCCTGCCTCCCAAGTGCTGGGGTTACAGGCGTGCACCACCACGCCGGCTACTCATGGTAAATTAATGAGTACAATAATGAAATGAAAGCACAGTTGTCTCATTTAATGCACAAGTTCTTTGAAGAAAATAACATGCCACACTAACCCACTGTTTATTCCTGTCTGTTTCGGAATCTGGGATCACGGATGGCATTCTCTCTTTCCATTTTAAAATGAAGTTAATAAGTGAATAAAGCAAGTTAAGGGTGACGAGGGTCCTGTGGCCCTGCTCATCAAACACACAGAGCTGTGCATGGAGAAGATCACCGTGCTGTTCCTGGTCCGTCTGCCCGCCGCGCTGACCGCAGGTTCTGGGCCCGGGCTGGAGCCCTTCCCTGGGAATCGACCGTTTTGCTGGGCTTCGCTGGCTTTTATTCCTTTCTGAGTTCATAAAAGAACCCCGAGCAGGGGTGCACCAGTGCACACGCAGAAGGGGGCCCCTTCTCCAGGGCCCTGGGGGCCGCGGTGGGCAGGCCCAGGAGGGACAAGCAGCAGGTGCCTCCCTCCTGGGCCCAGCGCAGGGTCACCTCGAGGCTGGTTTTAAAACAGGGACGGGGTAAGGCTGCACGCCGCTGCCTGTGAGGACCCGGGTCGTTCTCTGTCCCCGAGCCTCGAAGCTCAAACACAGGTGTCCAGCTGTGTCACGCAGGGGAGTAGAGACTCGTGTGAACACCTATTGTGGCCGGAACCTTCCCTGGCCCCGCTGTGGCTGCTGGGGCCGAGGTCCTGCAGACCCAGCCGTTTCGGGATCACCCTGAGTGTGACATAGCTCTGTCGCTCTCAGGAGGCTGCAGGGTCCAGCACTTGGGCTCCTGGGCACCCAGCTGCGTGTCCCTAAGTGGGCGGTATTGTCTGCTGGGGCAGGGGCTGGGGTTCGGGGTTCCGCAGGGTCTCCCTGGAGCGTCAGTGTAAACGTGGTAAAGGGCCACAGGGGGAGGGCGGACTGGGCTTGTTGGAGTGGAGTCACACACGGACTGCGGCCCCACCCGAAGCCCTGGAGCTGGGGCGCCCGGCTAGCTGGGAGCTGGCGCACTCAGGGTGATCCAAAAAGACCCCAAATGTTTCAGAGGGCTCCCCCCGTCCCACGCACGCGTCCCATCATCCTCACCGATTCTGCAGCAGCCCTGGAACCCGCTCTCCTGCGAGTGCTCGCCAGGGATGATCAAAAATCGGGGGCTGCTTTCCCCGAGTGCCACCTCCGCCTGCCGCCTGGGCCTGGGTCCCCCGACTTCCTGCTCTGCCTCAGTGTGAGAGAGACCCTGGCATCCACTGAAGGGACTCTGAACCAGGGCAAGGCTCGGGCTGCTGGACAGCCCACTGAAGACCCTCCGGGAGAGGACTCGGGCAGCGGGGCGGACTCCCCATAGAGCGGGTACCTGGACTCTGCCCCCTGGCCGTGGTCCAGCTGGTCCTCTGCAGCAGGCCGGGAGCTTTCCTCCTGAAAGGACTGAGCTCAGGTCTTCGGGGCGGACTTGGGTCTGCACCAGGGCGATGACCAGAACCCGGGAGATGCGGGGAGGGCGGGCGGAGAGCAGCACAGCAAGGGTACAGGCCAGCACTCGGGAAAGGCTGATTAATCTGACCTCGCCCCGCCCTTGGGTTCTGCGGGTTTTTTAGAGACAGCCAAGCATGTGGCCAGTGGGCGGGAGGCGGGACGGACGCATGGTGCAGGGCATGGGGCGCGGCCGTTGGAATGAGCCCCCCACCCCGCATCTGGTCCGACCCGGCTTATCTGTCCTGTTTGTGGCTTCACTGTTCGTTAGGAAACCAGATTTTACTTTTAAAATGCAACAGTGGTGGAACCAACCTAATTAGCAGCGAAACCAAAATCTTCCCCGTCCAGAGTTTTCTTTTCCTAACCCTCAGCGAGAGGGAGTAAAAATCAGATTATTGTTAAATCTGATTTGCGATAGGTTAAGAGCCAGGTATCAGCTTCAGTGTTTAAAGTCGTCCCGGTGACCTCCTCGGGCAGGAAGAGCGAATGTCATCAGGAAAAAATAACAGCAGGAAAGAAACCAGGGTGACTGCCCGGCGGAGAGAGAGGGGACCTCCAGCCAGCCTCGGGCTCGGCGCTCCACACGGCCTCCGGCCGCCCGTGCCCGATCCTCCAAAGCAGTCGCCAGTCAGCCCCTCGGGCTTCCACAGGCTCAGGGCTCTCGGGCGAGACGCACCCGCACAGTGTGCCTGATCGCTGCTGGTAACTCACCCTGAAAACTCCGATTTCTTAATCGGAGGGGAAGCAAATTTAAAAGCCCCAAACACTGCTGTGTGCTTTGCCCTTGTAATCCTTAGCTGAAAGCTCAGATCTGCGCAGCTCCAGCCTCTTTCTCTGCCAGCCTAATTTCTGCCCATTCTGTGCCCAGGCTGCTGCGTCCCTGCCATGTGCCGAGATCTCCCTGCCACCCTCCCTGGACCCCACCCGGGTGCCCTTCCCCTCCCTGGATGTCCTGGTGTCCTGAACCCACACAGGTGCCAGCGCTGGCTTTGCCCCACAAATTCGGCACAGGGGCACGGGGCACACACCAACCAGCGTGGGGGAGGCGACGGGAGGCCCGCGTTGGGGTGTGGTCCTGCCTGGGTGCCTTGCTTTGCCGGGCCTCAGTTTCCTCATCTGTAAGATGGAGGTGACGGCGGTGCCTATGTCCAGGAAAGTGTGCCCAGAACAGGAAGACACAGGACGCTTGGGCACACAACTGCTGGCAAACCCACAGGCCCCCAGGAAGGGAACCACGCCGGCGATCTGGTGGCACCCCCTCCTGCCACACGAGCTGCCTGCGGGCCAAGGGACCTCCCTTCTCCCTGGTCCCCACGTCCAGACGAGCCAGTGCCCAGGCCAGCACCCACACCAGTGAATCCAGGGTGCTTCCAGAAGTGGTTTGAGTGCCAGTTCCTTGAGAGCACAGCCGGTGCGGTCCCGGAAGCCCGGCCCGACTCAGCCGCCAGTGCAGGCGAAGCTGCTCTCTGCCAGGTGGAAGCCTCTTCCAGGGTGCTCTGTCCTCTGGCGGCTGGGCCGGTCCTCCTGCCTCCGCCCCTGCTTTCCAGCAAGTGCATCTGTCCCCCAACCTGATGTCTCCCACATTTGCGTCCTCAAGGGCCGTGTATGACCCTCTGGCTCTGATTTGCACAATGAAATGGAGCCTCAAGGCGCGGGCTCCTCGAGCCCAGCAGGGGTGAGCAGCCCTGGTCTGCAGCCTGGCCATGGCAGACCCTGCGCTCAGGCTGCTGGCCAAGGCCCTTCCTGGAGGGGACACCTGCCTGCCAGGGCCCTCTGCTCCTTGCCCCTGAAAGGAAGCTCTGTCCGCTGGTCTCCAGTCCCCGTCCTGTTAGCTCTTCCCACTGTGGCTCAGCTTGAGGACAGGGAAAGGTGCTGCTCCCAGCCCCAGGTCCCCTCTGCTCCCACCCTGCTCCCGGGCTGAGCTGCAGCAGGGGGTGTGGGGTGGGCAGCTGTCCCCTGTCCCTGGACTCCAGCTCTCTGTGCTCCATCGCCGTGGTGGGACAGCCGGAAGTTTAGGGCAGAAACAAACTCTGCTCCTGTCCCTGCCTCCTCCAAAGCCGAGGTGCCCCAAGGGCGCCTCCCGCACGGCCTCCTCTAATCCTCCAGGCACCCGCAGCGGATGAGAGCAGGCCACCCAGCAGGTGTTTGCCGAGGTCCTGCCAGCTGCCAGCTGCCAGCTCTGGGTCCACCCTGGTCTCTAGGAGCCGGAGGCTGAGGCCCAGAGGAGGTGGGCAGAGGTGGCAGGAAGTCATCCCCAGCCCTGGGCGCCCTGGTCCTTCCTGGGGACCGGATCCTGCTGGACAGGGCTCAAGGCGACGCCTGCTGCCACCCAGAGGGCCCAGCCCATCCTTGTCCCTGCAGACCCCCGGAGCCCCAGGAAATCCCTCCCTGGCAGGGAGCGATGACAGGCTGAGAAGGAGCAGGGTCATCTGCTTTGGGTTAAAAAGAAGCAAAATCAGATTTTTAGAGGGAAAGAAGAGAGGAGCACAGGCGCCCGCAGGCCACCGTCCGGTGAGCGGCCTGTGCTGTGTCCCTGGTCAGGTGGCGTGGTGGCCACCTTCGGTCACTGGGGCAGCCTCCCAGAGGGCTGGGGTCAGACCCACGGCCAGTGTCACCGTGATAGCCCCAGCCCTTCGGGAGCCCGGGGCACCGGCGGTGGCAGCCGGGGCTCGGTGGCCGGCGTGGGTTTGTTGTACAAACATCAGCTTCTGGGTCTCCCAGGCGGTCACCGAGCGGTAACAGGAGCCGGTGGCCTCCTGCTTGACCTTTCACCCCTCTTTGCTAAATAGGTCCAATTATTGCATTTGTCTGTCATTTGAGCCACAAATGACCCATTCATGTCGTGGCGGGCGGCCGCGTCTCCGCCTGTCTGGGGGCCCTAATTGCATCCTTCAGGCTGAGCTGGGGGAGCTGCCCGGCTCCGCTCTTCCGGGATGGGACCGCTCCACGCCTCCAGGGACAGGGGCAGTGCCCAGCAGCCAGCATCCCTTGGCTGGACCTGGTGGAGACCCTCTGGCACCGAGAGCTGACGGTGACTCTCTGCTGGGCACAGCCTGGGCTCCCAGCCCACATGGAGATGGAGATGGACAGGGCCCCTCCTAGTGGCCACACCTCTCTGTGAGCTGGGCCCGACCTCCATGTGGCCAGGGCACCTGACCTGGCCAGTGGCTGTGAGCAGATTGGTGTGGCTGCCTAGCCCCGTGTCTGGTCCACTTAGAGGAGAGGGGCACTGGGCACCTGGACAGCAGGCCACAAGAAGGGAGCAGCCGGGCCCCCAGTGACCAGGGCAGGGGCGGCCGTGCCATGGAAGCCAACAGAGACACACAGGCTGCTTCCTCCACACTTGGCCACTCCGACCTGCACGCTGAGTGGTGTCCCCACCCTGCTCCTCCAGGTGAAGTTTCCCACCAGGAGAAGGGTGCTGCCCGCCTCCCTTGCAGCTAGGGTCGGACAGTGAGCACCAGCACGGCTGTGTAGGACCTCTGAGAGACCTTCTGGGAAAGAAAAGGGCTCTGTTTGGGGACTCATCTGACACAAGAGAAAAGCAGACCTTTATGTGTTAAAACCAGCATTATCCGAGGTTTGGCACACAAGGTACCTCCTACAAGTACGTAGGAAGCTGCCAACATTGAGTGAGGCCGTGCCAGGTGAGGAAAGAATCCGTTACCAGGCAGGTGCAAAAGCCACCTGAGCAAGTGGGCAGTCTGACCACGTCACCCCTTGGGGAGGTGTCTGCTTACGGATTCATCTTTCTTCTTCGACTGTGTCTTCTCCTGGGGACAGAG